GTTGCCATTGTGGGCCCTCAACTCTCCATGTTTGCCAGTGGTTTATTTTACAGGTGAGTAGCACAATTTTCTTCCACTCACTAAGTTAGAACCCTCCCGCCATCTTTGAAGTGCAGAGAAAACTTAACAAGAACTTGCAGACTTAAAGCGGACAGAACAGAGGGAGGTATTTTCGGCTCTCTGCTTGTTCCTCAGAGATACTGGGCCACCCTAAATGGTGGCATGTGTGTGTCTGCTTCTGTTTTACCGTAATAAATTGTCTCCAAAGATTGCATAACATGGTGGTTGAAAAGAACCTTCCCTTTCTATCCAGCAAGTTGACTAACCGAGATGCAAATGAAATAATAAAACGCTCCTGCGCTCTAGAGCTGCCCTCTGTTGGCAGAGGCTGCTGTACACCTGTACAATTTTTACAAATTTGAAATAGTAGGGTTAAAAATGAGCAAGTTGACAGGCATGGTGGTACACACCTGTAATCCCAGCCCTTGGGAGGCTGAGGCAGAAGGGTTGCTTTGAGTTCGAGGCCAGCCTGGGCTACATAGTGAGTTTGAGGTCAGTCTGAACTACATAGTAGGATCCTGTCTCAGAAAAAAAAAAAAAAAAAAAGGCAAGTCATGTTTGTCCCTTCTTTCAAAGCCAAGGAAGTCACTTATAGGTTGAATTTTAAGAGGAGAGCCCACAGAAGTGATTCCTAGAAAGATACTTGGCATTCTGTTTCAGGTATTGTTTGACCGTAATACGCTGACCTGTTATATTTTAGCATGTACATTGCCGTTTTTATCCAGCCTTTCTCCTGGTCCTTCTACACGGCGTCTGTTTTCATTGGAATTGCAGCTGCCGGTGAGCATTTTGATTTCTACCTGCTTCCTTGTCAGAGGCCTATCTGAGGGTATCTATCATGTGGGTTCAGTATTTAAAGTAAGTTGACTTCGTTCCCTTGATAAACTTCTGGTTTGAATTTTAGTACTTTGGACAGCACAAGGAAACTGCCTGACAATAAATTCAGACGAGCACACTATTGGGAGAAACAGTGGAATTTTCTGGGCACTCTTACAGTCTAGGTAATAATCCTTTGATTCTGTTTCTTGTTTTGGTGCCATCACTTATTAGGTATTTGTTCTGTTGAAAATTTGGGTCTTTCCTGTTGTCAGTCCTTTGCTAACTATTCAGACTTCTGTAGTTACTTAGGATGCATGAGACTGCCTCATCAGAACATAAGATCACTAAACAGAAATACGAACTTCCACGTTTTGAGCATCTGCTGTATTTCAGGGACTGTTGGAGTCTACTTAATTTCACAGAATCCCCACGTGAGGTGACAAGATCGTCTACAGACAAGAAAGCAAAGACCAGAGGAAAGTAACTAAGCCAATTTGAACCAGCATTGTGTGGACTCCAGCAGCCACATCCTTCCCACTGAACTATATTGGCTGACAGGTGTCAGAAGATACATTAAAACTTAGAAATGAGGGCCGGACAGGGCTGGCCAAATAGCTGAGCGGATTAAAGCGCCGGCTTAGGCGGACCCATCAGCCGGGGTTCATTCCCGTGTGTGCCGGGCTGGCCCTGCGTTGAGCTGGCAGTTGAGACTGGGCATGGTGGCGCACACCTGTAATCCCAGCTCTTTGGGAGGCTGAAAACAGAGTCACTACGAGTCTGATCTACGAAGTGAGACCCTGTAGACCCTTACTAAAATAAAAAATAAAATACAATAACATAAAATTTAGAACTGAAACTGCAGCAGTGCTGAGTGGTACTGCACATTGGATATTTCCTAAAAGGAAAACAAAACCCATTCTGCTCATGACTGTTTCAGAAATCTGCAGATACCTTCATGGATCCTGCCTAGGATTTGGGCTTCAACAAGGCTTGGGAAAAAATGTTCTGTTTTCAGGAGTTGTAGGGTAGGAAATGGAAGTGTAAATGAATGCTTCCTTCCCTGGAGAGTATGCAAAATATCTGTTTAGATGCAGATAATGATTTAGTTTAAATTTTTTTTCATAGCTTCTTCAAAGGACTTTCAAAGAAGCATAAGGGGGGCCAGGGAGATGGCTCAGTAGAATAAGCGCTTGCCTGGCAAGCACAAGGGCCTGAGTTCAATCCCCCGTTCTGCCAAAAAAAAAGAAGAAGAAGAAGAAGAAGAAGAAGAAGAAGAAGAAGAAGAAGAAGAAGAAGCATAAGCTTGTTTCCAAGGAATTAGTACTTCCAGAGTACAACTAAATCACATGTCTCAAAGTGAGTCAGGCCCTGTGTCGGGCGGGTGGCTCTGAATCAGCTTACTGATACATGGAGAGAGTCTGAGTTCCACCTGGATCAGTTACTTTCTCAGAAAGAGGGTGGAATTGAAACTTTGAAATGACCTAGGACAGGTAGTCTACAAATTGCTGTCATTCTGTCTCTCCACAAATATTAGGAGTAATTTTTTGTTTTTTTTTTCTTTGGAACCGGGGATTGAACTGTACCCTTACGCTTGCCAGGGAAATGCTTATTCCACTGAGCCATCTCCCCGGCCCTCTAGGAGTAGTAATTTTTAAAAAAATGTATTTGGTATAGGGTCTCACTGCACAGCTCAGACTCACGGTGATTCTACTGTTTTCAGCCTTCCCAGCACTGGGATTACAGGCATGCGCCACCACACCTGGTCTTGGTGGCCAGCTCAGCATGCCCGGGGGCAGGGCCAGTGTGGCATATGGTGCCAGTGATCGAATCCCAGTCCCTGCACTTGCCAAAGCAGGCACCCGGTCCACTGAGCTATCTCGCCGGCTCTGCGTAATTGTTTTTGAAAAACATAAGATTGTAAAACTTTCCCAACACTCTCTCCTCCTTTCTCTCCCCTCAGCTTGTTCTTTGGAAACCTCTACATATATTTTGCCTGGCATGGGAAAACCCACATATCAGGTTTGTCTTATTCTGGTACGTTCAAAGCATGCTCATTGTACCACAGAAATATCCTTGGTGCTTTATTCAGGCATTGTTCTGGTGAACTTTGGGATTGTATGTTCTCCTAGGTATTTGCCTTTGGAATGCTTTCTCCTGGGTTTATTGTATTGGGCTTTAGATTTTTAGATTAGGAATTGCAAGGTGTGAGAGAAAGGTGTGTTGTGCATGAGTGTCTAGTGAATTCTGTTGTCTGTACACTTCTTTGATTAAAAGAACATCATTGGATCAGTGGGTTCTTGCACTGTTTTTCTTTTGGCTTGTTAGTAACCCCCTAGCTAAAAGACAAAGGGGAAATTGCCTATTTATTTCCTCACCCTGAATTTTTGCTGATGCATTAAAATGAAAATTTAATGAGGTAGTGTTTTACCACATAGACACAGTCTTCAACATATACTAACTCAGGGTGGGTGTGGTGCCACGCACCTGTAATCCCAGCACTCTGAAGTTGGGCAGGAGCATCGCCGTGAGTTCCAGGCCAACTTGGGCTCCATATTGAGCTCAAGGTCAGCCTCAACTACACAGTGAGACCCTGTCTTGAAAAGAAACCCCAAGTAATAATGAATAATAATATTATTATTCAGGAATTGTCTTGGTCAGTGCTATCTACTTTTTTCTTTTTTTCTCCCTAGAGAGTGACCGAAGAACAGTGTTTATTGCCCTAACAGTGATTAGCCTTGTGGGGACAGTTCTGTTTTTTCTCATTCGGAAACCAGATCCTGAAAATGTCCTTGGAGAGGATGAATCTTCTGATGACCAAGACCTGGAAGTCAACGAGTAAGAAATGGGAGATACTCCTTTTTGTGTTCAAATAGACTTTGAAGGGATCTAGCCTAGAGCTGACCCAGCCTGCTTGTCCTAACTAATACCTGATTCTGTCTGCCAGTACCACAGGCAGGCAGGAGGGAAGTGTTCAAGCAGAGAAGCAAGGTGAAGGGAAAGCTGTGAGGGAGGAAGAAGGGAAAAGTTGCCTGAGGAAAGGAGGGTGTGAAAGGTCTGCAGGGAGCAAGGGTCGTTGCCACCTTTGCTCAAGGTGTGCTTGGCCCCGGGCAGTAGCAATAACCGAGAAACCCCTTTCTGTCTCCAGGCCTCCATTTTCTCGATGCATTAAGTGTTTCCAGGGCAAGGGTACAGGATTATAAAGTGAAATAAAAAATAGTCTTTGCCTTTAGTTCCTGTTTCTGTGATCCAGCTGTGAAGCTCTGAGCTTCCTGTGATACATGTGCCAGAGCCACCAACACGTGTCACCACTGGGCTCTTGGCGTACAGTGGCTGGCTCTGTACAGGAGGTTTTCCTCACAGTAGTCTTGAGTGGGGAGACAAGCATGGAGCCCTGTGTCTCTAGGAGTGCTATAAATTAC